CTTGAATGTCTTCGACCTCGGCTTTTTCCGTGCGATTCAATCCCTTCAAGATCGGAACTGCTCACGAAGCATGGTTGACATTGTGGACAATACGGAGCGTGCGTGGAGCGATGTTGACCCGGCGACGTTGAATGCCAACTTTTTGACGTTGCAAGGATGCATGATGGAAGTGATTCGTTGCGCGGGTGGCAGCAAATACAAGATACCACACATGAAGAAGGCCGTGCTCACTGCGAAAGGTCGCTTGCCCTTGTCGATTGAAGCGGATGCTGGCGTTGTCAACGCCAGTATGGAATTGTTATGTGAGTATTACTTGTCTACAGTCATCTTAGAATTGGCGAGCGAAGTGGCGAAGACCTTGGAAATGAGCGATGTCTGCACGGAGCTTGAGCGTCTGGATGTCGTGGAAGATTCCGATGATGAAGAACTTGACATACCATCGGTACTTGGATTAAACATTTGAAATATATGTACTTGATTTTTGTATGCGAAATATAGTGTTTTTTCTTCAATCCACTGTTGCACGTTTGGAGCAATAAAACCGGGACAGAGGTAGTAGATATATTTCAAATATAAATCTAAATGCATGGTAGGAAAATACCGGTATAATTCGAGCACTATTTTATAGTGATCTTAAAAGTCATAAAACAACTGAATATATTGTTTGTAGTGGATTATTGCGAGCAGTCATAAAAGTCGGAATGACGGGTTGTGATTTTTTAAATCTCGAACAGCGCGTGTATCTTGATTTCTGTTATGAAGAATAAAATTATGCACAATTTATGTTTATTTTATTGCAGTTCGCGATTTCTATGCTGTTCGCGACTTCGATGCGTTTCCTTTGTAGATTCGTGTAACCCCTGCCTCCTTCTTTGGCGTACGTGTGCTGGCAGAGGGTACAACGCCATCGCCCAGTCGTTTCGTCGTTCGAGTCAGTGATAGCAGAAAAGAAGTACCTACTACACTGCTCGGGCGAGAACTTGGGTGCGGTTGACTTGCCTGAAAGAAAAGTGGACATCATCGAGAGTCTAACGGTGTAAATGATGATTATTAACATCCAACAGAGGCCTTACGAACTAACAGCCGTGCTAATGACTGGCTACTAACTAACTGTAAGCAATGTGGTCGGTGGTGTTATTATGTGACAAATTATTTTTATGCATTGTCAAATCGAGTCAAAATACATAGTGCATATTTGTTTCAATTCTCGAAAATACATTATGCATAATACTGTACTGTACCCCTAAATATTTATGTTTTATGCATTATTCTATTTCGACCCCTGCATGGCGGCACCGGCCACGGGAAGGCAATCAGGCGGCTGGTTTTATGTCTAAACTCGCACCTGATGACTGCACCTCTTATTAAACCTCACTAGACGGCCCAACGTACGGGCCTCTCCCACCTAGTCAACTGGCTCCATAATTGTTCGATTTCCTCGACTTGGATCTCGCTTTCAGCTCCGTGTGAACCCAGTGGGAAGGTGCAAAAGCCAGGGGGAACACCGGGTGGTTGCGGGTGAAACGGAAAGTGAATTAGCTTAGCTACCAGTGAGAACAACTGGCTCTAAAGGCTAGACGGACTAGCTAATGGCTAGCCAATCAGGACACGGCATCCTATTGATGTACCATGGATACGGCTGGCTATCTACTATCTGAGGAAAAGCCTCTAAAAGGCACAAAAACCTCGTACTATCAGGACACGGCATCCTAATGATGTACCGTGGATATGGTTGGCAATCTACTATCTGAGGAAAAGTCTCTAAAAGGCACAAAAACCTCCTACTAGCTGCAGCCAATGCTGCTACCTGAGGCTTCAGGGCAGTGGTGATGTTCATGACAGAACAGGGTGTTCTGACTGCCTCCCAACAACTCCACGCACTGTCACCGGAATCAGGTGCCCATAGTGCAGCAAGAGGCTGGCGGTTAGACTCAGTGAGCGTAACCACCTATGG